GCTGTTCCGTGGGAGAAAGATGAGGCTTTCTGCTCCCGTAAAGATTTACAGCCTCAGAAACCCTGTACAGGGTCGCTATGGGTCGGAACCGACTCCACAGCACCTAACAACAACCACCAGTGTCATTTTTGCCTCAAATTCTTTTCAATTGAAAATTAAGGGACTCGTGTAGCTAAAGCCACTCTTGGTATTGTTGTGTGCCGTGCAGAGGGTTTCCACTCAATCCTGACCCTGCTTAGATAGGGTTTGTGAGCCTGGAAGTCTTCCCGGAAGCAGAAAACCTCCACTGTCTCCTACAGAGCAGCTGATGGGCTCCATCTGCTGACCTTGTGGCTAGCAGCCCAATGCTTAGCCCACAGTGCCACCAGCTAAAGTTCAAGGCCCCTTGATTGCTAGGTCTTCCCCTTTACAGCCAGGTCTTTGCACCTAGGACACAGCTAGAAACCCTCAGTGACTGTGGGCTCCCGTAGGCGCTGACACCACCTTGATGCCTTCATGTGATCCTGTCCACTGAGCCAGAGTGCGTCCAGCCCCGGCTAGAGGACACCTACCTGTCCTCGCAGCTGTTACTGAATTCGGCACACATTCATCTGCTTGATCCTTGACAACTGCAGCAACCAGGTTTCTTTGCTCACTGTCTTCTCCTGAGCCCTTGGACACAGTAGGCTCTCAGCAAGAAACCATTTGTCACGTGGGCCAGTGGCCCGCCTCTCCTTTCCAAATGCGCACACGGGGTAGCCGCTGGCTGTCTCGCTTCTTTCGTGCTGTTCCAGTACACCTTACGCAGCTGCCTTTGACAAAGCGCACTTGAGTCTCACAGGTAGGAGGCTCATTCACTGGGGCCCTGCTTCTACTCCTCCGTCTCTGTTCTCTCCAGAGCTTGTCTGATTGTTTTTCTGTCTCCAATGAGATGAACTCCAGACACACCCTACACAAGTCCTGCCTCATGCCTAGAACAAAGACTTGCCCGTTCCCAAAGGCGTGGAGGTTAGGGTTCCCAGTACGCCATCATTCAGTCCAGAACTCCTGCCTATTTCCCCCTGTTTTCCTCTCTCAGTGGTGACCATACCCTTGGGCTTGCTACTCCTCACACAGGCCTGCGCACTGATGGTGGAGGCAGCAGGGTGATGCCTCCTCATCAAAGTGGTCCCTGCTCAGCTTGGATGGTTTGCATGGGGCCAGCCGCCCTTCAGCTCAACATCAAAGTATGGGATTCTTTTGCTTCCTTCACAAGGAAAGAGGGCCTCCTCTGTCACGAGCTGGCTGGTTCTCCTCCTCTGCCTGCAGCTCGAGCCTGGCTTGCATTGGCAGTCCCGTCAGTGTGTGTTCAAGTACTAATAGGCTAAGCATCCGTGTTGTAGGGAGCACGGCCAAGACCTCGTGTCCTTTGAAAACAAAAAGAGGTCCTAAGTTTAGAAACCGTGGTCATTCTTATTTTAATCCAAGCCTCGTCATTCTTGGAAACGCAAACTCACTAACTTCCTATCACCCCTAAGGAATGGTGCCACCATCCTTGGCTGTGTTTAACCAGGAGTTCCTTGTGGCCTGTGGTTTGTCCTTGGCTTGGGTTTGTTGAAATTCTTTGGAGAGAACTCCAGAGAGCCAGACCTTCCCTGGACCCTAGAAGCCCGCCCGTTTTTCAGACTGTGAATCATATTATGAATAGTGTGGAAGTGGGGAGTCTAGTCTGTGCACAACTGCAAAGTAGCCTTTTTGGGGGCTCCCTCTGCCACGCTGCCTTCTGCCATCCTTTATTCATGGTTGTCTGTTGGGCCAGGTCCAAAGCCTAGTCGGTCAGCCACCGTCAGCTTCCGAAGTCTCTTCCTCATTTCCCATCAAGAGTCTAAGACTCAGAAATTGCATGCTGCTCTGACAGGCGCTAAGTGAGTCCTGGTTTTCAGTAGAGAGATGGGGCAGAGCCCTAAGCCCTGAGGGAAGGAGACTTCCCGGCTGGGGACACAGGGCAAGCATGGCCTGGCCTTCCCATTTGCTCAGTCCTAGAGGAGGGCACTGTTTGTGGAGATCAGCCTATGGCCACTGTCAAACCCACAGCTCTTCCTCCTACCTCCTCAGCATAAGCCCTAGGTCTGCCTGCCATTAAGAGGTGGCTGTGATCCTGGGGCCTTGACACACCACCTGCAGATGGCTACTTTGTGACCTAGCAGTAGAGCCAGATGCTGACCCTATGGTCCAGGAAGCTGACAAGGTAGAAGCTGCTCCTAATCAGTGTCTGGGCAAAAGGGTGTCTTGTTTGCACTGGGACGGTTAGGGCTCTCTTCTGGCCCTCTCCAGGTGCCAAGTCTTGGGAAGGAGCATTTGGGGGTACAAGAGCCTGGGCTTCACCAGTGCGTCGTGCCGGGCTTTGTTCTGCCTCTAGGTGGCGCTGCTCGTGAGTAGGGTCCCCATTGCTGTGGGTTCTCCTGTGGCGCCGCCTAGCCTGTCTGATCAGAGAAAACCACAGAGCGAGAAGCTGGGCTGACAGCCAGGGCTGACTGGGCACTGCATGCTGATGGGGGGGGGGGAGGGCCTAGAGGGTACACAGGGGTTGACCCACCTCCCAGCGACTTGACCTGTGAGGGACAACCCCAGCCCACTGGCGCTGCTTGTTTCTGCAAACGGGTGTGTTCTCTGGGATTCTTACATGCTTGTTTAATACTTCAGGGAAGAAAAGTCAGAAGACCAAGACCTCCAGGGTCACAAGGACAAGCCCCTGAAATTGAAGAAGTTGAAGAAAGATAAGAAAGAAGACAAAGAGGGCAAGCATGAGTCTCTTCAGCCATCTGCCCATCACTCTGCTGAGCCAGCCGAGGCCGGAAAGGCAGAAACATCTGAAGGGGCAGGTTCTGCCCCAGCCGTCCCAGAGGCCTCTGCCTCCCCCAAACAACGGCGTTCAATCATTCGTGACCGGGGACCGATGTATGACGACCCCACCCTGCCAGAAGGGTGGACACGAAAACTGAAGCAAAGGAAATCTGGGCGCTCAGCTGGGAAGTATGATGTGTACTTGATCAAGTAAGTGGGGGCTGGGTGGGCAGGTGCACAGCACAGAGCCCTGCCTCCAGGGGGGGGGGCTGGCAGGGAGACCTCCAGTAAGAACCCCCTGGGCAGGTCCTGCTCCTCCTGTCCTCCTCTGGGGTGGGGTGGTGGCAGAGAACAGTCTTGCAATGTTCATTGAGGGGCGGTGGTCACTGCTGGGAGACAGAAGAAGGAGGGAGTTCGTGGCATCCAGTCTAGTGTAATTCTGTGTGATTTGGGGTCCATTTGGGGAAGGGTGTGCCCTCTAGTGAGGCTTCTGAGAGAAACCATGCCTTCATTATTTGTGCAGCCTTGGTTGGCAGTTGAGTGTGTGCTGTTGACACCGAGGGGCTTCCAGAATCGGAGCTCAGGGCAGCAGGGAAGATGAACATTTCAGTTATACCCTTAGACTGATCTAGAAAGGGATAGCAGTTTTTGAAGAACACTTGAGTGTAGTTTCATTTAATTACACTCAATCCTTATTATTCGTGGATTCCTTAGCTACTTACTGGCCTCTTGGTTGAAGGCTTGGGATGCTGGAGCGATGCTGAAAGAGGTTGGTTAGGTCTTAGCCAGTTTCTTGACAGTTGGGGCTTGGCTGGCACCTGGATACAGTGAATGGCGATGTCTGAGTAACCCTGCGAGGAGAGGTTCAGCGACTTGCCTGAGCTCAGATAGAGGACTATTCTAGAAGCAGATCAGGCCCAGTCACCAACCAACAGAATGTGGTCTGACCCCATGGGTGGCTGGATTGGGCATGAGGGGGCATCCTCTGAGGCTTGGCCTTCTCCTCTGGGCTCGTGTTTGCAAGTTTTACAAGTCATAGCTCCATCCTACGTGCTGCTGATCTCCATATGGCCAGGCCAGGACAGCTGCTAATCCTTCTTTGTGTCTCTCCATTTCCCCCCAGTCCCCAGGGCAAAGCCTTCCGCTCTAAAGTGGAGCTCATTGCATACTTCGAAAAGGTAGGCGACACCTCCCTGGACCCTAATGATTTTGACTTCACGGTCACGGGGAGAGGGAGCCCTTCCCGGCGAGAGCAGAAACCACCTAAGAAGCCCAAATCTCCCAAAGCTCCTGGAACTGGCAGAGGTCGGGGCCGGCCCAAAGGCAGTGGCGCTGCAAGACCCAAGGCCGCAGCGTCTGAGGGCATGCAGGTAAAGAGGGCCATGGAGAAGGGTTCCGGCAAACTCCTCGTCAAGATGCCTTTCCAAGGCTCGGCAGGGGGCAAGGCAGAAGGGGGCGGGGCGACCACATCCACCCAGGTCATGGTCATCAAGCGCCCTGGCAGGAAGCGGAAAGCCGAGGCCGACCCCCAGGCCATTCCCAAGAAGCGAGGCCGGAAGCCTGGCGGTGTGGTGGCCTCCGCCGCTGCTGAGGCCAAGAAGAAAGCGGTGAAAGAGTCTTCCATCCGGTCTGTGCACGAGACCGTGCTCCCAATCAAGAAGCGCAAGACCCGGGAGACTGTGAGCATCGAGGTCAAGGAAGTGGTGAAACCTCTGTTGGTGTCCGCCATGGGCGAGAAGAGCGGCAGAGGGCTGAAGACCTGCAGGAGCCCCGGGCGGAAAAGCAAGGAGAGCAGCCCCAAGGGCCGCAGCAGCACCTCCTCGCCCCCCAAGAAGGAGCACCACACCCACCACCACCACTCGGAGTCCCCCAAGGCCCCCGCAGCTCCGCTGCCGCCCCTGCCCCCGCCTGAGCCCGAAAGCTCCAAGGACCCCAAAAGCTCCCCTGAGCCTCAGGACTTAAGCAGCAGCTTTTGCAAAGAAGAGAAGATGGCCCGAGGAGGCTCACTGGAGAGCGACGGCTGCCCCAAGGAACCAGCTAAGACTCAGCCCACGGTGGCTCCTGCTGCCCCCGCCGCCGCCGCCGAAAAGTACAAACACCGAGGGGAGGGTGAACGGAAAGACATTGTCTCATCCTCCATGCCGAGGCCTAACAGAGAGGAGCCTGTGGACAGCCGGACGCCCGTGACAGAGAGAGTTAGCTGACTTTCAACTGAGGGGATTGACAAAGCAAACCCACAAGAATAAAGGCAGCTGTTGTCTCTTCTCCTTATGGGTAGGGCTCTGACAAAGCTTCCCGATTCACTGAAATAAAAAATATTTTTTTTTCTTTCAGTAAACTTAGAGTTTCGTGGCTTCAGGGTGGGAGTAGTTGGAGCATTGGGATGTTTTTCGTAACCGACAAGCACAGTCAGGTTGGAGACCTAACCAGGGCCAGAAGTAGCTTTGCACTTTTCTAAACTAGGCTCCTTCAACAAGGCTTGCTGCAGATCCTACTGACCAGACAAGCTGTTTGTCAGGCTGCTTAGGCTATGCCTGTACCTGCCCTCCCACCCACCCCTTTTTCCCTGTGAGGGGCAAGAGTGGCACACTGCTGGTGGTCGTTAGGAACAAAGCAGTTTAGAAAGCACCCTTGTTTTCTGTGCCATTGGTGCCCCTGCCTCCTGCCCGCACCCCCAGCTCCCCCGCTCCTCTCCCAGCCACGGCAGGAGTGACAGGTCCCGGTGGCAAGTGGCTCCGGCCCCTGCAAGACCACCCATGGCGGGCCAAGTCTGGTCCAATGCCAGCCCCTCCTCCAAACTCAACCAGGACCCTGCCCAGCACAGAAGAGTAGCCCCTGTCCCCCCCAGTCCTGAGCCAGAGGAGACCATGGCTGAGGGTGAGCTGGTACTGGTCACTCTCAGGGCCATCCTCCAGAGGGTGCCACGGAGGCAGCCAGCCAAGGCCACAGCAGGCCCAGCGCAATGGGCAGGAGGAGCTCCTAGTCACTCCAGGCCGTCTTCAACTGGTAGTTAGGGACCTAGTGGACTGGGCGGGGCAGGAAAACTGTTCTTCCAGTTAGATTCCAATTCTACCACTTTAGGGACAGCTTAGAAATCTTTGCACTATTGAGTCTTCATGTTCCCACTTTAAAACAAACAGATGCTCTGAGAGAAAACTGGCTTGGCCAGGGTGACACTTGCTCACACCAGCCACCAGAAGTGACGGTGTTCATAGCTACCTGTCTTTGTATATATCTGCGCTTGTTTTCAAGTGGGATTAGCACATAGGGTTCCCACGAAGCTTCGAAACTCTAAGTGTTTGCTGCGATTTTATAAGGACTTCCTGAGTGTATTTTCTTCTCTCCTTTCATTGTTTCTTCCCTTTCATTTCACTCTTTGGTTTCTTCCATCCTTTCCTTCTCTTTTCTCCTTTCTGTGCCAGCCGCACTGCTCCACTGTCCCCTGAGCCAATGCGCCCCTTCCTGCCCTGTCCCCTCCCCTTGCCGGGCCCGGCCCACCCACTGTTCCAAGGCCTTCAGAGGCCCTGGTTTCTGCTGCAGCCAGCCAAGTGGAGCTAGCCATTGCATTTCGGGGCCTCCACAGGGAACAACAGAGCAACACGAATTTGTGCTCCTAGGTAGACAGAGTGAAGCACTGTTCCAACCCTGAACTTGAAGTTGTTCCATCTTCAGTTCCAGAGTAGCAGCTTGGGCAGACGTGTTAGCAGATGCTCCTCCTTGTGCTGCCGCCTGCCAGACAGTAAGGGGCTCGGGCTCGGGCTCGGGCTGGACTTGCCGCGGTTTTTTGTTTGTTGGTTTGTTTGGTTTTTGGTACCCTCCTGTCTGTTCAGGAAGTCCTTATCTAGCTGCATATCTCCATCATATTGGTATATCCTTTTCTGTGTTTACAGAGATGTCTCTTCTATCTAAACCTGTCCAACTGACAAGTACCTTATCAAAGTAGCTTCCAGAAACACCCACAAGCACGTCACCTGTGAGCTGCTGCAGTGACCTGTCAAATGTGTGTTGTCTTGTGTGTTTCCCTTCTTGTCCCCGGCTTCCTTGTTCTGGTGTGATCCTGAAGGAGCGAAACATCATAGAAATCATGTAGCCCTTCCTTGCCAGTCTTAGTGGTTGGGAACCATAGTTGACAGTTCCAATCAGTAGCTTAAGATAAAGCAGTGTTTGTCTCTTCCAGAATGGTTAGAAACAAGGGAGTTTGCCCTGTTTGGTTCATAGTGGTAGCTGGCCTGTTTAGCCTCTCTGTACCCATTTTCGTATGCTATAAAAGCAAGCCCCACAGTGGAACCTGTCAGCCTGATTCCTGATGCCTGCAGTTGCTGTCAAACCTTCTGGCTTCTCTTCTGACTCCTCCCCAGCAAGGGAAGTGGGTTGGGCAATCTGATGAGGGTCAGAGGCCTTCGGAGCTCCTCTTCCTCAGAGGACAAAAGGCTCATGGCCTCTGATAATGGCCTCACTCACTGGGCACCTTCAAAGGGACAGCTGGCCAGTTTGCCGCGGTGCAGTGGGTCACTGAAAAGACATGGCTCAGGGCTGGTCTGGATTTGATGCAGCATGCCTGGTCCCGTGCAATAGGGCCTTGGCAGCCCAGTCAGGAGTTGACAGGCACTCCGGGGCCTAAGGCCAGCCAGCAGCATCCCTCCCTGTTCCCCCAGCTGCAGCTGGTGCCCAAGGCTCCGTGGACTCCACCCTCTGTCTTCCCCCCTCCATCCATTTCCTCTTCTGCCTCAGGTCCAGGCACCGTGAGTCGGTGACCTGGGTGCAGGCAGCCCTGCCAGCTGTGCCCCACCCCGGCTCAGGGGGTCCTCCATGGGCCCAGGCACACACAGCTTGCCCCTATCCCGCCCCTGTCCCCTCAGGTCGTTGCTCTGGAGGGAGCCCTGAAAGAGGTTGGGTGCGGAAAAGCCTTTCTCAGTGATGGGCCCTCTGACCTGTAACCAGGTGGTGACGGGCCGCTAGGTCCATGAGGACTGCTCGGTGTCCCACAGAAAGGGTGTCAGCAGCCCCGGCCTCCATGCTCTGTGTTGTCAGCGGGGTCCGTCAGCAAACCAGCTACCCTCGGAAGAACCTGTTCTTTTCTCCACTTTTAGAGATTGTGTCAAGCTTTAGAAAAGGCGTTGTCTAACTAACTGTTCGAAATCGCTAGGAGACTGCCTCCTCCAGGGTCTATAATGACATAGTAAAGGAGAAAATTTGAACACTGAGACTGAATCTCAAGATTTAGAAGGAAAACCTAGAAAACAGGTGGCAGAAAAGTCCATGTTGATATTTCTGAAAGAATCACAGCAAACTTTGGCCCCAGTGCTGAGGTCAATCTACTTGCAGCCATGCCTGAGAGCTCGGCTGAAGGGTGGGGCCAAGGGCACTCCAGCCTGAAGCCACCTGAGGACCTTTGTGAGCAGTCCCCGGGGAGCTGACCTCTGACCTGTCCTTTGGAGTTGGGCATGGAGGTTTGCAGAGGAGCCCAGCTCTGGTTGTGGAAGGTGGGGTGTGCCCCGTCTGTTGTTACCTGCTCTCATCTTGACAGCCCACCGCAGTCCCCGCCCAGTCAGGCTACTTGCACAGGCTTTTGCCTGTTGAGCGCCCTGTCCCCCGGGTACCCCTCCCCCCACTTAGGCCAGTCTTCCCTGCCTTGCTCTCCTTGGGGTCAGTCTTAGGGTCTAGAAGGCCCCTGGGATGGAGGCAGGACAGGTGCGAGGAGAGCAGCCCCTGGGAGGAAGCCCCCCCCCTGACAATTTGAGAAGTCACCTTGGGAGACAGCTCCGCAGAAAAGGGGTCAGGTAAGCGGTACCCTCCTACAGTGTCGCCCGCCTGCCCGCCTCAGCTGCTTGTGCTCTAGATCCTGAGTCTGGCTTTGTTTCGCTTTTTAGTTTTGCCTTTAGTTTTTCTGTCCCTTTTATTTAATGCACCAACTAGACACAAAAAACAGTGGAATTTTGATATATCTATCTGTATATTGCACAATTATAAACTGATTTTGCTTGTGACGCCACACACAGAAGACCTGTTAAAATGGTACCTGTTGCTTAATTACAATATTTCTGATAACCATAGCATAGGACAAGGGAAAATAAAAAACAAAACAAAAAAAAACAAAAACCGACAACTCTGTCTGCTGGTCACTTCTTCTGTCCAAGCAGATTCGTGGTCTCTCCCCGCTCGTGTGTCTAGGGCGGCCCTGGGCCGAACCCGGGCTGCTGTACTCCTGACATGGCCGAAGCTCCCTTGTCCAGGGCACTCCGGAGTAGAGTCCGCTGGCGGGGGGGACGGGGGGCCTGGAGCCCACGGGCGGTGATCGGTGTGGGGAGTCGGTGGGCCCAGGAACGGAGGGGAGAAGCCTCCAGGACTTGCATTTGCTTTTGTAACTCTTCATGAGCAATATCTGCTAGAGAGGTTAGCTGAAACAGTTCTTTTTGATCCTGTTTTTTAAGTAAGTAAAAACACCAAAAAACACAACACAAAATCCAGAAACTTGTTCTTCCAAAGCAGAGAGCTATCTAACCACCAGGGCCATTGCTTCCATCCCTGTGCCACTGCTGCTGGTGAGGCCCAAGCTCCCGAGAGGAACTGGCTGTACCCCACCCCACCCCACCCCCTCCCCCGCCAGTGTGCAGTATTAGCCGGGTGGGGGAGGAAGCCAGAAGATGACTCCCAGCTGGATAGCCCCATGTGTCGGGGCATGTGCTTTTTGACCAGAGTGAAGTCAGCACATGTGTTAACCCCCATGGGTCCTCTAGCCCCACCGACTGAAGAGGCCCCCATTCAGTGTTTCTGGGGAGGATGACGGTGGGTGCAAACAGGGTCACAGAACTTGAACCTGGTTCCTTCCCTGGCTACCTTCCATGGTCACCTGTTTATTCTTTTTGAGTTTATTTCCACTTCAATAACAGCCGCTCCAGAGTCAGTAGTTGATGAATATATGACCAAATATGACCAGGACTGTTACTAACCACGTACTGAGCCCTGTCCTCGGGCCGGGTCGTGGAACCCGACACTGTAGCGTGTGCTGTGTTTGCGCCCCTTTCTCCTCCCTGCCCTGCCCTCACCTGGTCTTTCTGGGAGGGGGGTTCGGTTTGGGTTCGGTTTGGATTTGATTTTTCCTTTTTGTGTTCCAGACATGGGACATCCTCCTGGTCCTCTGAACTGTGGTGTTGAGGCTTCTCTATTTGTGTCGTTTTGGGTGGGTGTTTGAACTGAAGTCTGTATTGTAACCATGTTTAAAGTAATTGTTCCAGAGACATCTTTTCTTTACCAACAAGCAAAAGTCGGAGGGAGGGGGCTGGTGACTGAGATGGGAGGGGCTACCTTTTCCTCAGTTTGGGGAAATCTGCAGAGATGACCGACCCTCTGCCCAGGTCAACGCTAACCTGTCCCCCTCCCCTCCTCCCAGAAGTCAAGCCCGAAGAGCCCAGGGCCATTCCAAGAGCAAACCCGTTAGGTGTAAAACCCAGTGGATTCTTTTGGCTTCACCCCCACCCTTAGATTACTAACGTCTCATTATTTTTAAGGAGAAATCGGGTTGCCTTTCTGCGAGGGTAGCCAGAAGGGAAGGAGAGTGGATGGGCAAAGGAGGAGCTCCGAGGAGGACTGGCCAGGCTGGACCGGGAGGTGAATGCTCCCAGCCCGAAGTTGCTCCTAAACAGACCGGGCGTTAGGGACGTTCATCCCCAAGGCGGGTCCCCACGGAAGTTACCATTATAGACATGCTGTCCCTCCCCACCTTGCTCTTATGCACAACACTGATATGAGGTCTCCATTCCACCCTGTTCAAGGGTGATCAGCAGACCGCACAATGTGGAGCAGAGGAAACAATTCCTCTTCGAGAAGCCGTTGCCCTGCTGTAGACACTGGGGCTCATGGGACACATTTGTGCCAGGCAGGCCCCCTTAGAAAAGCTAAGATTCCTGGTCATGGAGGTGGGGAGGGGCTAGGATCTACCCCAGCCCAGACAACTGGGGACAGTGTTGCTAGTGACAGCAGGGCCCATCCAAGGTTTGGGGACGCATTCAGGGGCCATCTAGGGCAGGCTTAGCAGGAAAAGTTTCTCAAGCTTTGATGGCATTCACCTTCGATTTTTGTGTTTTGGGACAATTACTTTAGAAATAAGTAGGTCGTTTTAAAAAAAATATATTGATTGCTTTTTTGTAGTGTTAAAAAATAAAAAAGGTTCTTTGTGTATAGCCAAATGACTGAAAGCACTGATATATTTAAAAACAAAAGGCAATTTATTAAGGAAATTTGTACCATTTCAGTAAACCTGTCTGAATGTACCTGTATACGTTTAAAAAACACCCCCACGGAATCCCTGGAACCTATTTATTATATAAAGAGTTTGCCTTATAAATTTACATAAAAATGTCCGTTTGTGTCTTTTGTTGTAAAACCCAGTGATTTTTTCATAAGGTTCTTTTACTATTTGAAAAGATGGGCAGCACGCAGTTTTATTTTATTTTTGTAAGTTTTTTAATACATGTGAAGCAAAGACTACTCAGCATGCCTTTCTAAGTGACGCGTTTGCACCTTTTGTTGGGAAGTACTGTATCCTGTGCTGTTAGCATTCTCGATAAATCTCTCTGTGAAAGTGACTCAAGGTCTGGGCTTTCATTGTAAGACAGCAGTCCCCTCTCAGGTCATCACATGGACCGCGCTCTCAGGCAACTGGGGTGGCAAGGAAGGGACGCCCACTTTACCCTTGGGCCTCGCTGCCTGCCTCTTCAGGGTGCTCCATGTCCTGAGCCGTCTTGGCCAGACACCGTTTCTTGTTGCAGCACAGGAACTGGGGGTGGGCACGTCCATGCCTGGGAGCCCCTCCCGGGTTTCCTGCCCCCACAGCACAGACCTGTTCCTTCACCCCCAGCCCCTCTGGTGCCTTAGGGCACTCACTGCACACTCAGACACACAAGCGCTCACATGCTGGCTCTGAATGTGAACCAAAGGACCCAGACTCTTCAGGAGCTGATGTCAGACCCTGACGACCTGTGGAAGTGACCAGGAGCAGCTGTAGACCCTGGGGAGAGGCACGGTGGGGTTGGGGGCTGCTGGTAACAGCCCTTTGGAGTTGGGATAGAGAAGGGGCAGGAACAGCTACTACTGACTGTTAGAGAAGCCAGCCTAAATAAGGGCCTGCCCTATATGGTTGGAGTCTCCCCATCTAACTGGGTGGTAGCTGAGTGAAGTGGTGAGAACCACTTGTGGACTCCAGGCAAGTCCCGCCCAGGCGTGGGGAGGTCTCCACTGCTGCCAGGGCCTGATGGACCAGGAGAAAGTGCCAGACAAAGTGATTACCAACGGCAATCTTGCAGTGCTGAATGACTCTATGGAGAAGGTTCGCAATAAGGGCTGCACAGTGACCATGTTGTGACAGCCATTTGTGGTACACAAAGGGACTGGGACCCCATCAGAGGGCCTCAGGACCCTGGAAAGGTATAAGCAAAGAAGGGCAGTGGGGAATGCCAGAAAACCAGGGTGGACACAATGGGAGAGTGGGCATGGGACACATATGTGACTAAGAAGTCACAGTTATGTGCTGGTACCTGGGGGGAAAGGCACAGCAGGTGAAGTGTAGGGCTACTAAGCCGGGCAGTTCCAATCCACCAGCAGCTCCGCTGGGTTTCAGCCTCAGAAACCCCAGAAAGCAATTCTACCCTGTCCTCCTGGGTCACTGAGTTGGAATCCATTGGATGGCAGTGGGTCTGGGGAAAACCAGACCCTGCGGTCCTGCCCCAGAGCTAAAGGGACTGAGGTGCCCCGGAAAAGGGAGGTGGAGGGCACTGCCCAGAGCCAACACCTGCTGCAGCAGGGCTTGAAGGATAGGGACATCGAGCCAGGGGACTCTCCTAGACACACAGCTGACCCCTTAATGTTCCGAGCTCTAGCTGGCTTCCACCTACCAAATACAGTCCAAACTTATTCACGGGACTGCCAAATGGCTTCCCCAGAGGCCGGTTCAGCTCCCTGGAGGCACTCCCTCTTTCTGGAACATACTGGACCCTGTTGGGAGTCCTGGTGTGGCACTATTGGATCAACACTGAAATGCTAACCGCAAGGTCGGCGGTTCAAACCACCTTGGAGGCCCCATACAGGGTTGCTAGGAGTCTGAGCCGACTCGCCAGCCCTGTGCGCCTGCTGCCGGAAGCGCACGTCTTCGTCCCCTCCGCCTGGAGGCCCGCTCTACTGACCGCCCCAACAAGACGCCACCGGGCTTCCAGCCTCTGGGCGCGCGGGCTCCGGCCGGGGGGCCGGACGCGGGCGCCTCCGTGTGGCCGAGGCGCGCGGCGACGGCCGAAATGGCGGCGGGGTCGGGCACCGCCCCTTCCGCCCCGCCGGGCGTCGCACGAGGCGACTTAAAGGGGAAGTGAGTCAGTGAATGTCGATCTGGCCGGCCGAGGCCCGCTCTCGCCGTGGCCCCGAGAGGCCCCAGAGGCCTCGGCCCGGCGGCGGCGCTAGGCGGGCCATGGCGGGGGGCCCGGGCCCAGGGGACCCTGCGGCCCCCGGCGCCCAGCACTTCTTGTACGAGGTGCCGCCCTGGGTCATGTGCCGCTTCTACAAGGTGATGGACGCCCTGGAGCCCGCCGACTGGTGCCAGTTTGGTGGGTGGCGGCGGGTGCGGGCCAGGGCGGGGGGCAAGGGGTCCCCAGGTCGCTGCTGCCCACCTGACGCTCCCCGCCCCGCAGCGGCCCTCATCGTGCGAGACCAGACAGAGCTTCGGCTCTGCGAGCGCTCGGGGCAGCGCACGGCCAGCGCCCTGTGGCCCTGGATCAACCGCAACGCCCGGGTGGCCGACCTCGTGCGCATCCTGACGCACCTGCAGCTGCTCCGTGCGCGGGACATCATCACGGCTTGTGAGCGCCGCCGGCGGGCAGGCGGGCCAGCGGGGGCAAGCGGGCGGAGGAGGAGGAGGCCGGTCCCCCGGAGCTGCCACTCACTCCTCCTTCCTTTTCTCTGTGGCGCCAGGGCACCCTCCTGCCCCCCTCCCATCCCCCAGCGCCACCAGCCCAGCCCTGGGGCCCAGCAGCATCTCTGTCCCCACCGAGGCCACGAGCCCCAGGAAGTCACAGCCCTCAGCCTCCACCGTCCTGTGCCCAGGTAAGAGCTGGGACTGCTGGTCACACCGGGTTCAGAGAAGGGGCACCTTGACCGTAGCCCCTCACTCTTCCAGACTCTCAGACCCATCCAGGGTCCGGGCCCAGCTTTGGCCCCGCAGACCACTCTGCCTGTCCCCCGCCAGCACCGCCATCGCCAGCCCTTTCCTCTGCAGAGGTAGGTGCCCCTTGCTCTCAGGGGCGGTTCCAAGTAAGGAGGATACACTGGAGCCTGTTGTGCACTGCAGCACCCCAGGCTGGGAGGTAGCTGCTGGGGGTGGGGGGGCATAGAGGAGCCCACCTGCAGTGTCTCTACCCACAGGTGAGTCCAGAGGGTCCGCTGGCCTTCCTGCAGGGGGCCCACCCGGCCCCATTCTGCTGGCCCTTTCCGGAGGTGGTTCAGGGCACCCGCAACTTCTCGGAGGAGCTCAAGATTGGCGAGGGTGGCTTTGGTTGCGTGTACCGGGCGGTTATGAGGAACACGGTGTACGCTGTGAAGAGGTTGAAGGAGGTAGGTGTGTCAGGGGACAGGTGGCAGTGGGAGTGGCCAGGCAGCCGAGCTGCCGAGCCTCACCCCACCTCCTTCCTAACGCTGGGGCTCCAGGAGGCGGACCTGGAATGGAGTACGGTGACACAGAGCTTCCTGACCGAGGTGGAGCAGCTGTCCCGGTGAGCGGCCGCCATCCCCAGGGCTGTGCCAGGGGGCAGTGTGGTGGGGCCCAGGGCCTGGTTCTCAGCACCCCTGCTTTGTCGGGCAGGTTTCGTCACCCAAACATCGTGGACTTTGCCGGCTACTGTGCTCAGAGCAACTTCTACTGCCTGGTCTATGGCTTCCTACCCAATGGCTCCCTGGAAGACTGGCTACACCTCCAGGTAGCCCCCTGCCAGGGCTGACCCACAAGCCCAGCCTGTGGCACACAGGACTGGACCCGCAGCTCGGGGCTGCCCCAAGGTGGCTGCCTGGGCACTCTCCACTTGGGCCTGGCCCTGCCTGCGCCTCCAGGAGCTGGGCCCACCGCCTTTCAGGAGGGGGATTCCTGCAAGAGCATCGCCAGTCCAGTTTCTGCCTCTGAAGGACCTCCTCTGTGGGCAGTTGTCGGCTTCTGGGGGACAGAGAGGGGCACACACAAGCACAAGACAGCCTTGAGGAAAGGGGACTTCAGGGCCTTGGGAAAACAGACCCGGAACAGCTTTTCAAGTGAACTTCACCCCCTTTCTAAAGTGGATCCTGGAGATTTGACCCTTTTTCCAGAAGCAGGAACCCTGGTGGTACAGTGAATTAAGCACTGGGCTGCTAACTGCAGGATCGGCAGTTCAAGCCCAGCCACCACCCCATGGAAGAAAGAAGTGATAGTCTGTTCCGTTACAGGGGGTCACTCAATGGTGGCAGGTCAGGGAAGAACGGCCTCAAGGAGCAGGAGGGCTCATGGCTGCTTCCCCATGTCTCCTCTGCCCTCCAGACCCAGGCCTGCACCCCTCTTACCTGGCCTCAGCGAATGGACATCCTCGTGGGCACAGCCCGGGCGATTCAGTTTTTACACCAGGACAGCCCCAGCCTCGTGCATGGAGATGTCAAGAGGTGAGGAGGTGCACAGCCCGGGACCTAGGGGGACAGTGCACCCCAGCCTCCCGCCTTCTCACCTCAGGGGACGGACCCGCCCTGAGACCTGTCAGATGGAGGCCAAGGCTGTTTGGGGCCTGTTGGCTGCCCCACCCTCTGCTCCAAGGGCCCTTTGGTTTTACTGGGTCTGACCAGGTGGGTGTGGAAGGACACTGGGGCCGGGCGGCCTCCTCTCTCTCCTCTCCTCTCCGCAGCTCCAACGTCCTTCTGGATGAGAGACTGCTGCCCAAGCTCGGAGACTTCGGCCTCGCCAGTTTCAGCCGCTTTACCAGCCTCCGCCCAGGTCAGAGCAGCACCGTGGCCCGGACCCGGACAGTGCGGGGCACCTTAGCCTACCTGCCCGAGGAGTACGTCAAGACAGGGAAGCTGGCTGTGGAAACCGACACCTTTAGCTTTGGGGTGGTAAGCTGCATCTTGTCTTCACTTTTGGTCCCATTCTCCCCCTGGCTCTTCCCTGCTGACAAGGGACCATGCTCATCTGTGTGTCCGAGGGTCAGGCCCCTGTCATCCCCGAGCATGCCGTGGTGTCCACCCAGAGACCCCTTCTGGGCACAAATCACTGCTCAACTGCTGTTTGCTCTCTTCCCAGGTGGTGCTGGAGACCCTGACAGGCCAGAGGGCTGTGCGGACACAGGGACCCGAGACCAAATATCTGGTGAGCCAGCTCCCAGGATGGCCCTAGGAGGTAGGGTGATCCGGAAAGCGGACAACGCCTGGGCAGCTAGTCCAAGTGCCCTGGACCACTGTAGACTTATCGGGCCTGACCAGGAGAGTGGGGGTTCACGGGTCATCCAGTAGGGGGCAGACCTGGGATCAAGTCCCTGCTCCTCACTGGGCCCTGTTTCCCTGTTTACGAACCAGACTTAAGGACATGTGACGGGCCCACGGTGGGCTCTGCCAGTGTCTGTTCTGGACGTGGCCCTCGTTCCTGGGGTCTCTGCGGGGACTCTCAATGGCCCCGGCCATCACACCCGTATTCTTTCCTGCTCCGTGTGTGGCCTAGCTGCCCCTCTGCACACCCCCAACCTACACAGACTCCTTGACCTTCCTCACCCGTCCACCGAGCTGTGCCCTCAACGCTTGTCCATGCTGTAGTCCTAGGGATACCTCCCCACTGCTTACATGGCCGGAACCTAGCAGCCTGTCTCTGTCCCAACCCCCCGGAATCTCAGGGCCAAGAACCAGGCTTGGCACCCACTGAAGGTTCGCCGAATGCATGGGAAGCCATAGGTGATGTGCACATGGCTCACTGTGTCTGTCCCACAGAAGGACCTGATAGAAGAGGAGGCGGAGGAGGCCGGGGTGACCCTGAAAGGTGCCCACACCACCACTCAGACCGGTCTGGCTTCGAACACCTGGGCTGCCTCCATTGCAGCCCAGATCTGCAAGAAACACCTGGACCCCAGGCCCGGGCCCTGCCCCTCTGAGCTAGGCCTGCCCCTGGGCCAGCTGGTCTGCTGCTGTTTGCACCGCAGGGCCAAGAGACGGCCCCCCATGACCCAGGTAGGCCTGCCCCCCCAGTGAGCCGACCACACTGCCTGCTAGGCCTCTTGTTGTTGTTGTTGTTAAGTGCCATCGAGTCGGGTCCGACCCATAGCGACCCTGTACAAGGTTTCCGAGGGTGTAAATCTTTACGGGAGTAGAAAGCCTCATCTTTCTCCCGCGGAGCGGCTGATAGTTTCGAACCGCTGACCTTAAGGTTCGCAGCCCGATTCGTAACCACTACGCTACCAGAGCTCCTAGGCCTCTAGGAGTTTCTAAACAGCAGTCCACAGCTGGGACAGAGGGCCTCCACTGCACCCCCTGCTGGGAGCATGGGGCCACTGCATCTGCATTTTTCTGTTCTCTCCCTGAACTCATCTGTCCCCCGCTGCTGACAGTTGAAAGTAGAACAGCCTTTCTCGGTCCTTGGGTTCCTGGTGACATGGACAGTCTGGAGCAGACTCATGGTTAGACCTTTGCCCTGCAGGTGTACGAGACGCTGGAGAAACTGCAGGCAGCAGCAGGGCCGGCCCTGGAGTCTGAGGTCACTGGCCGCAGCCCCCCGTCCCCGCAGGAGAACTCTTATGTGTCTACCAGCAGCACGGCCACGGATAGGGGTGCTCCTGAGCCGCCAGCAGGTCAGCCCGTGGAGAGCGACGAGAGCATAGCAGGCGTCTCCGGGGCCCTATGCTCCTGGCACTTGACCCCAAGCCTCCCCCCACGCAGCCCTGGACCCTTCAGGTTGACGGACTGCACGCAGGCTGCGGGTACCAGCAGAGAGTCACGCTTGGGGAGCAGCCCAGGATCCTGGCCCACAGCCTTGGAAGGTAGCTGAAAGCAGGGTCGTCCTCCTCCCAGGCTAAAGCTGAGCCCCATCTGTTCCTAGTGAGTGGGAGGCCAGCCTTAGAGAGAGGCCCACACCATGGTCTGATCTCACCAGGGACAGCCAAGAGGGCGTGGAGGACTTTCAGTGTATGTGCAGGTGTGGGGAGCTAGGCCAGGGCCGCACGGGTCAGCCACGAGTTCTAGGGAAAGCCCCGGGGGCTAAGAGGGCGCTCTGCCTCAGGATCACCAGTGGGCAGCGTCGCATCTTCTGAATCGCCACGCATCGTCATCAACCGAGCCCGGCAGAAGATGGTGCAGAAACTGGCCCTGTATGAAGATGGAGTGTTGGACAGTCTACAGTTGCTATCCTCCAGCTCCCTGCCAGGTACTCACCCCGCTCGGGACCCCCGCTCGGGAGCGTCCTCCCTTCTCCTGTGGACTTCAGCATCCCTCCCCCCTCCTGTTGCCTCCTGAACCCAGGGAACCCAGTCAGAACTTTCCATCCCAGGTGTTATTTGAAGAGCTGCTTCTTAGAAACAGTCTCAGTTCCAGAAAATGGCCCCGGTGGTGACGCAGTAGGCAGCTGCCACCTGCCGCCTGAGTGACGTCCCCTCCTCCTTCTCTAGGCCTGGGGTCTGTGGAGAGACAGGGACCCGAAGAGAGTGATGAGTTTCAGAGCTGAGCATGCACACAGGCCGAGGCCAAAGGCAGAAGTCTGATTTCTTATGGTTGGAAGTTCTCAAGGTGTGCGAGCATGTGGCAGCTCGTGGGGCCGCCATCTGTCTCCAGAAGGAGACGGGGTGGTCACAGGCAGGGCTCAGCTGGCCGAGCCATCGATCAGGTTTTGGGTCTTGTGTACAGAGTCACAAGGGGGGGCGGGGGAGGGTGCAGGCCTGAGGTGGCTGCTTCAGCAGGCCCAGGAGAAGCAGGGTGCCTCTGCAGTGGGGTGAGGGAGAGCAGGCACCTAGCCACCTGTGGACTGAAGAATAGTGGGAAATGTGGAAAGTTGCAGTGTGGCTGTCCTATGGCTCAGTCACTTGTAAGTAGGAGGCGTTCTGAGTTTCCCCTAGCCCTCCTCCCAACCCGGCAACACCCCCACCCCAAATCCGGCCCGTGCCTGCAAGCCCCAGCCTTCAACAGCATCCCTGGGTGCTCCAGACTGCCACAGGCAGAGGTTCAGCTTCCAGCCCAGGCACTGATGGCTACAGAGGGGCACTGCCCAAGCAGAGGGGCTCCAGCTCCCCTACAGAGGGGCTCCAGCTGGACCCAAGCCTCAGAACTGCCTGAAGAGTGAGAATCCCCAAGAGGGAACAAGGCCGCGTGGGAGGGGAAGCATTTTCCCAGAGAAAACGTTCATCACACGTTTTCTTTGACTTCGTGTCCTCTCGGATGGCTTAGAAAGTAGCCCCAGGCTGTAGCACAGGCTTACGAGGATTTTGTGTCCACTGTCCTAAGTCACACTACAAGCCCCCATGAAACAGCGGTGAAGTCCAAGTTGTCCTTGAGTAATAAAATCTTTGATATTGGATCTCTGACTAGACTTGTGGAATTTGTGGACTGAAAGCGTTGCTTTTCATCTCAAGACTCTTGACTGTCCAACCAGAAACCCGAGCTCCCCAGTGCTGCTACTGAACAGGACTTTCCCGTGGGCATTAACAGTTTCCCTAGGGCAGTCCTGTTGCTTTGGGTCTGTTCTAAATGGCATCTGAATTTCATTTTCCAATACTTCATTTGTAGTATGTACTTGACCTTGTACCCTGTGACCTCACTTGAATGCATTTTAGTTGACTTCAGATTCCGTAGCATCTATGTGATTGTTTCATCTGCAAATAAACACACTTTTGCTTCCTTTTCAATCTGTGTGCCTTTTGCTGCTTTTTCTTGCCTGAGTACACTGGCCAAGACCTCCAGTAAAGTGGTGATCACAAGTCGTGAGAGTGTACTTCACTACCTTGTTCGTAGTCTTAGGTGAAGAAGAGTGGCATCTTTCACCGTGAAGTAAGATGTTAACAGTGTGATTTTCAGGAATGTATTTGATCAGGTGCAAGAAGCTTAATAAACGAATTGAGCATTTTAATTATGGATGGTTGTTGAAGGGAGGGGAGGAGGGAAAGGTTTTCAGTGCGGTTTTTGCGTCTTGTCGAGATGACCATGAGATTTTTCATCTTCACTCTGTGTGGTGAACCACACTGATTTTCAAATGCTCAATCAACCTTGAATTTCTGAGAGATGGTGCCACTTAGTGTGATGCATCACCCTTCTGCAGATCGCTGGATTCCATCCGCTGATATTGTTGAGAATTTGCGTCTGAGGAATACTGGTCTGCCGCTTCCAGCAATCTCTTCTGTCAGGGTGCCAGCCTCGTGCGGTAGGGAGGAAACTTCCTTTCTCCTCTCATGTTCTTAAAAGGTTTGTGTGTGCTTAATGTGACGTCTCTAAATGTGTGACAGACTTCGCCAGTGGAGCCACCTAAACCTGGAATTTTATTTGTCCATTTTGTCTTGAATTGGCCTAAAATATAATAACATTCCCTTATTATCACTGCTGCTTTTTTTACTTCATCAGCCGAAGTAAGGATTTGTCCGTTTTCTTGATAGTTTCAAAGAACCAGTGTTGGTTTTCCTGTTCCGTTGTCTTTTTTGTTGATTTCAACTCCTTGTCATTTCCGGTCTTTTATTTACTTGGGGTTCCATTTGCTTCTCTTTTTCCAGCTTCTGTAGGTGTAACCATAGATAATTTTAGGCCTTTTCCCCCCCCTTGCACACAGCTTTCCCTGCGTCCTGCATGCTTGGATATGATCTATCTTCGTTAGCATTCATAACCATGTAATATTTTTCTATTTCCTCCCGATGTCTTCTTTGATCAGTGACTGACTTACAAGTGTGTTGTTACGTGTCTCATTTCTTCAGAACTTGTTTTCTAACCTCGTGGATGGTTTGGTATGATGAATGTGTGCTCGGCAGTTGGGTGGCGTGTGCGGCCCATGGTAGTCAGTTGCTTGATTGTCTTACTCAGGTCTGGCGTCCTTGCTGATTTTCTGGCTGCTTAGTCGCTCAATCTGACGGGTAGACTGAGAGAAAAGTGAAGGCCTGTGTCTTTCTCTTCATTTTGTCACATTTTGTATCACGTATTCAAGCTCTTTTACTAGGTGTATATACATTTCGGATTTTTACATGTTCCGGAGGTACTGACCCTTTTATTATTACTATGAAATGGTCTTCTTCATCTCTGGCAATATTCCTTCTAAAATCTGCTTTGTCTGGTATGAAGGTAGCTGATGCTTACGGGTTTGCTTGTTTTGTGGCGTAACTTTTCCCATTCCCTCCTTCTCACTTCTCTGCATCTTTATATTTAAAGTGCATTTATTGTAGTTCGTACAGAAACAAAGCTCACAGACAAATTACAACATCTTTGAATTCCATTTCTCTCCGAACTTTTTGAAGCCCCCTGGTGTGTATGAGGATAAGTGAAAAAGTATTGCTACAAAGTCATAGAAACCCAAATTAAACAAAAATCGAAATGTGAAGCTCTTGTTTCTGGGTCTAGGTCTCTCTACATCTCTCTAACCTGTCCCCGGAGAATACTGCGCTCGTCCATTTACTCAACAAAACGGCGGTTTGGGCATCTTTCGGGGACTTTAGGCGTGTTCCTTTTCAATGTTCTTTGAGTTTGGGGACAACAAGAAGTCTGAAGGGGCAAGGTCAGAGGTGTAGGGTGGAGGGGGCCAAGTTTCCCAGTGAAGCCCCCTGAAGAAGGAGCAGGTGCACAACTTTCCTGGCCTTTTGCTCACCATTGTCTTACAATTTCTTAATAATATGCCCCCATGATCCGCCTGTGTCACTTGAGGAAACCTCTCACAAGGAGCCCGAGTGGTGCTGTGGATTCAACATTAGACCGCTGACTGCAAAGTCGGTGGTTCAAACCCACTAGCCACTCAGTGAGAAAGCGATGAGGCTGGCTGTTCCCGTAAATACTGACACTCTCAGAAACCCAAAGGGGAGCACCTGTATTCTCTCTCCTGGGTCCTATATGGTCACTGGTTGTTTTGTGGCTTTTATAACTTTCGGAGCTGACCTCTCTGCCTTGAATTTAACCAGCCCAGTGGATCACCTCAGAAGCCAGTGTATTGATTGGACCTTTTCTTTGAAGGCACCCTAAGGAGAGTAAAATAAGTCTATTACCGAAGAGAACTTGTTTGCAGCCATCCATAGATTGCACAGACATGCTTAAACATATTGTGTTTGGAAGAAACCTGTGCATGTATGAATTGGAATCTTAATAATAGCAATGCTTCTTTACCTGACCTTCATAGCTCAAGGGATACTTCATGAGTTTGTTTGGTGTTAGGTGTCGTTGAGTCCATACAGAGACATGGCCCGCTACTGCGACAGTCACACAATTGCTGCTACGCCACTGTGACAACCCATCTCGTTGACGCTGTCCCTCTTTTTCTCTGAGCCTCCATTTAACCAAGCGTGATGTCCCTCTCCAGATACTAGTCCTTCCTGATAATATGTCCAAAATATATGAGAAGCAAAGCCTGGCTCTCCTGGTTTTTGAGGAGCACTCTGGCTGCGCTTCTTCCAACACAGATTGGTTTGGTTCTTCTGGCAGCCCTGGTACTTGGAATATTCTTATCTGACACCATAACAGAAACGCATCAATTCTTCTACGGTCTTCCTTACTCACTGTCCAACTTTCCCATGCATATGAGGTGATTGGAAATGCAATGGCTTGGGTCAGGTGCACCTTAGTCCTCAAGCTGACATCTTTGCTCTTCAACACTTAAGTTTTTATTGTGACTTGAGCGTTAGCTTACGTGGGAGAACATGGGTTTTACACTCATGTCATTGCAATGATTACAGTCCCCTCCATGCAGCATCATTCGACAGTATTAGCTTCTATTTCCTCTGGGTTTTTTTTTGGGGGGGGTGGGTAACACAAAAACACTCAGGAAACTTTTACCTTTCCAGTTAGTTGTGACAGTCGCAATTAGTCATGATAACAGTTACTCCCTATGGAATCAATAAGAATCTTATCCCCTTTCACCGTACCCGTCTACACAAGATGAAAACTATTCAGTGACATTGTTTGATTTCCTGACTGCTGCTTCCAGGAGTATTGATGGTTGGTTATCTGACCAAAATTAAGTCTTTGACGACTTCAAGCTTTTCTCCATT